AACGAGAGGAGAAAATGACGACCTAGCTATAAAAATTTCAGTCGTGCAGATTGAAAGGTTCGGCTCCGTTGTCGTGCCGGAGAAATGAAATGCATTGAGCGCGCGGCTGGATCACTCCCAAGTTAGATCAATTGTTGCAAGGCCTACCGAGTCCTAGATCGAGCCTGCGAGCATCGGCCAAATCTGTGTTCCTTCAAAAATATCGATATTCGCAGAAAAATTTCCCCGATCTTCTCGAGCTTCGTTATCACGTTTCTCTTGGTTCTGTTCATCGTAAACATGAATTCGATGCACTCCTGATGTAAATCGGAACGAAGCGTAATTAAACGAAACACTTTGTCGCAAGATTGATAAGAACGTGATTCAGGTTTCGATGATTATTAATTTTACAGCGAAAAGCACAACTGAACGAAGATTGATCTCGAATATTGTCAGTGTTTTAAACTTATAATTTTGCATAAAGAATCATTTTATAACATAGAGTCTCTATTTTAATAGTCTTGAATTCTCTAAAATTTTAGTATTTTAAAATTTTCAGTAATTTTAGTATTTTCTAAAATTTAAGCGACTCTAAAATTTCTCATAACATTTTTTTCACAACTGGATTTTGCAATAATCTTGAAAATTGAAATTTTCTGTATGATTTCTTTTTTTCATCATTTTATTGAGCTTCGAATATTAGAGTTGAACGACAAAAATTTATGAAATCCTGAAATTTCGTCGTCTAACGTTCGTCTATCATAATAATAATAATAATATTTCAATAATCTATTATCTTACGCTAATTATCAAAATATTCTTTTTATAATTGCCCGTTCAATCGATGCTCGAATCGAATAAAATATCGAGTGGAATCGAAATTAAATTTTTTCTTCAGTGAGAATCGCGGAAAGAGGATTAAGTTAATAACGACGATATCGCGGTTCAAGTTGTAGCGGGAACGACAGCGTATCATTGTATCACGCAGCAGGGAATATGATATTTTCATGTTCCGTTAGATTTCGCATGCAAAGCACTTCCTCCATCGCGGCAACTTTCGAGCGTTATCAAAAAAGTTGGAACCACTTTGCACACATTGACTTAAATGTTTAAGCTATATCCGCAAGAGATTCCGAGAAAGTCCTCTGCTGCCTGTCAGATGAAAATTTCTAACTGGAAAATGTTACGCGGCGAACGTTGAAGCTGGTGAGGCTATACTTAAAATTATTTCTCTTTCGTTCGTTGCCTTGCCAGGATCTTATAATAATCAAATTTCTCTTTGTCCCCTTTGTATGTGATTTACAGTAATTTAATAAAAGTAGTATTCTTCTGAGCTTATATTTGATAATAATTAAATAAATCATTAATCTTGTCTCTGAGCTTCGCACGCTATTTTTTGTTTATCCTCTTCGTAAATAGTTTACAATAATTTAATAGAAGTAATATTTGAACTTATCCAGTTGAATCATTAATCGTGCCTCTGGTCTTTATGTACTATTTTTCTTTATTTTTATTTCCTCTTTTTTCTTTATTTCTTCTGATTGTAAGTAATTTAGAAAAATTTCATTTTAATTGAAGAACTTGTATCTAGTAACAATTAAATAAATCACTGATCTCCCCTCTGATCTTCACATGCTAATAAATAAAATCTCATTCCCTCGTTACAATACAACTAAGTCTACCAGAATGAAACATCTTTTTGTATTTAACAACCTACATAAAAACTCTTCAAAAATGAAGGAAACAACCTATAAGAAATCTTTAAAAACGAAGAAAACAACCTATAAGGAATCTTTAAAAACGAAGAAAACAACCTACAAAAGATCTTTAAAAACGAAAAAAACAACCTACAAGAGATCTTTAAAAACGAAGAAAACAACCTATAAGAAATCTTTAAAAACGAAGAAAACAACCTATAAGGAATCTTTAAAAACGAAGAAAACAATCTATAAGAGATCTTTAAAATGAAGAAAACAACTTATAAGGAATCTTTAAAAATGAAGAAAACAATCTACAAAAGATCTTTAAAAACGAAAAAAACAATCTACAAGAGATCTTTAAAAACGAAAAAAACAACCTATAAGGAATCTTTAAAAACGAAGAAAACAACCTACAAAAGATCTTTAAAAACGAAGAAAACAACCTATAAGAAATCTCTAAAAAAAAAAAGGAAGCATCTTGGAAGTTCACCCGAGCAATCAAATTCACATATCGCGTGTTTCACTTCAAACGAGCAACGCCGGTTAATTATTTCTAGCGCGAGGCCGCCGGCTCATCAAAAAACATCCTCCACGTCCCGGCTCTGTCCGCGGATTAAAACGAAGCTTGCGGCCGGGGGATCGTTCGAATCCTCTATTCATAACGTCTCACGGCGGTCTTATTTTAATCTGCCTTAATTTTTCTTTTTTTCTTTTTCCCCCTTTCCCGAGCTGTCGGATTGAAATGGAAATGGCGCGAACTTTGCACGTCGGGAACGCGGGAGCAAAGGCAGTGGCGGCGGAACGAGCGCGACCTGCACAGACAAATTGCATTAAATCTCGATTCGCGCCGCGTGGAAAATATTGACGCCTCGTGGCGTCTCTTTTTCCCGTAAATATTGATACGCCGCCTGGATGAGTTTCACCGGCGACGCATCTTTCATGCTTTGGCTGTAGCTCTCGTCGTCGGCTAGGCGGAAAATAAAATCGAGAGGAAAAATTCGAATGAACTCCGCTGGTGTTCGAACGGGGTCGGTGTCGTTGTGTGGTTGTGTCACTTCCTCGACGGCAGACGTCGCGCAGCGAGCGATCCCAGTCGGTGTCTTTACGGTGGCCGTTCGAAGGAATTCCATTCGCCAAAATGTCGTTTTATGCTTGTTTTACAGACCTGCCTTAAGGGAGGGCGGGCCGTTTGTTTGTCTCTGTGCACGTGCCTTGCGGTTGAATATTTGATAGGCGAGGAATGGGAGAATGCCACACCGGGAGTAGAAATGGAGAAATGGATCTGTTCCTTTCTTTTTTTCTTTTTTTTTTTTCTTTTTGTGACGACGGGAATCGCATCTGGAAATTTTATCATTTTATTTTAACATAGAGTATTGTGTGTATTAAATATATAAATATATATTTATGTGAATATTAACATTTTATAATTTATAATATATACTGATATTGATGTAGCATATATAATACATAATTGTAATGAATATAACATATATAATTCATTGTAATTATACATATATAACGAACTTTCATTATAATCCTAAAATTGAACGATCTTCATTGTCCATTCAATTGATCACTCGGTAAATTGGAAACTTTTTGTGAGAAATTGAAAATCCAAATTGGATGATTTTTCTACAACGTTGAATAGCACAACTTAAATTGAACAACAGCTCTGTATGATTTTTTAACACCAACATACGTTTCTTCGCCAGCTTTTTATTGATTTCAGTTTACTAGAATGGCAGAGTGTATAAATTTAATTGTCAGACAAAGTATGAGTTGCCTTTTCACAAGCATGAAACATACTTCAGCCAAAGGGGGTCATTCTTCTGACCTAAATAAAACTGATCTATTATTAACACACCGAGAAGGTCTAAAACAATTAGATGTTCACCTTTCGTGACTGGAGGGCTCACACGTGAGTTTCGTGCTTTTATCTGCGATCTGTTTGAGTAATTACGATAACAGACTGCGCATTACGCAAAGTAATTTGCTGGAAGGTGTACCACGAGCAAAAAATGGCAGAATAATCCATGCTCGTTTTCATATCTCGTCGAATATTATACGGTCATCAATTATTCTGCTTCTTTCATTTCGTACGACACTTGATTTCACTTTATGTGTGTACCACAGTGAAAAGCATAACTAATAACGGCGAAGAATTGTCAATAATTGCAACTACGATAGCTCTGCGTAGAAGAGAAAACCGTCTCAACAATCCATTTGATCTTATTTTACTTACTTTGACAACGCCGAGTTCGTCCTCCGTTTTTGAGAAGATGATTTTATATCCAAGAGAAAGTAAAGGATACTTTTCGATACTTTTTCTTGGAAAATTGTAGAAATTCAAACATCTCTAAAAAACATTGACAAATTTTTTTAAATCTACCATCATTTTGGAGAACAATGAATCTCCCTTTAGAACGCGATCTTAGAACTTGCTATATGATTTTTTTTTAAAACATTTTATTAAACTTTGAATTTGAGGATTAAACGATGAAAATTCAAGAAATTCTAATACTTTGTTCTAGTATTCAATAAAATGGTGAAAAAAAATCATATAGCTTTCAAAAGGAAACTTCATTCTTCAGGAGAAATTTAGTCGTGAAAAGAATTTTGAAATTTTTTAAAGATATTTAAATTTCTACATTTCTATTAAAAAAAAAAAAGTATTTTTTACAGATCTTGAAACAAGTGGTTTGTCTTTTTTTTTACATTCTTCGCTGTATCTCGCGGTTTTTTTAAATGAAATAGATACTTATAATCTACGATAAATTGTCCAGAAGAAGTTAAATATCAATCTGTAAGAAAAGATTTTAGAATTTAAAGGTACAAAAAAACTTTAAAAGGAAATACAGTCAATTGTTTCTTAATTTTTCTCCTCAACAGTTTCATAATTTCTCGAGTGAAATTATGTATTAAATTATATCAATAAAAAAAATTCGCTACTTGACGCGTATCTAGACACTTTCGCCTCTAGGTTATATACTATTCATCAAGACATGATTGATTGCCTTGATTTATGAAAGATAACCCCAAGAGTTTCGGCTAGCTATTATTCTTTTTGTCGAGCCTGACCTAATCGAGCAAATTCGTACGGTAAAAAAAAAAAAAAAGAGAGGAAAGAAAAGAAAAGAAAAGAAAGAGATGTATCTTTTAGCTCTCAGAATATTTTAAACATCTCTTTCGATACTTTTCTTCTCCATCTTTTTCAATCATTCCCCTCGATACGAACGTGGCAAAGTGAAAAGTAAATCTGCACGGCTTATCACGAGAATCTCGACGTTATCCCCTTACGTCTTCCGATATCTCTTTCAAAAAGTCAGAAACAGACAGAATAAACTGCAACGTGTGTGTGACTTGGCTGTTCCAGTGGAGGAAGGTGATGGCCCGTACCACGCGCTCGCGACGAAAAATGGCGAACACGACTGATGCTCCCTCGCCTGCGAGCAGCCTTTTGTCGTCCACCACGACGGCCCCGTTCACCAGCCCGACATCGGCAACCTACTCCACCGAGGGCTATACCTTCAATTACACCGGCCTGCCAAGCTTAGGTGGCTACTCATTGGAGGATCTGAATTACACGGAACTCTGGGTGGACGTATGGAATAGCACCGAGGCCAGTAACGTGACCGAGAGGTTAAATACCACTGTACTATCATCGGGAGGAGGCTACTGCGACGAATGGGAGGCAGCGCAGCACAAACTCTTCCAGGTATATAATACACTCTCTTTCTACAAAAATTTTTCATAAACGCGAAACGGAATGGCTGTTAGGAATTGAATAGATTTGATTAGATTCGTAGCAGCAGTCGCACGTGAATCTAAATAACAATTGATGACTTTCAAATGGTAAATGTAAAGATACTGTTTCTGCTACATCTTCAAATATAGAACAGAATATGTTCAAGACAGTTTTTCGAATGGCATATCAAGTAGAAGTTTAGCTACGGATTCAATAGATTGATAGCGGCAGTCACTTGCAACGTGAATAGTACAGGGTGATTCTTAAATGGTAAACGGTAAATTTCGTAAATGTAGAACACTGAATAGTACAGGGTGATTCTTAAATAGTAAACGGTAAATTTCGTAAATGCAGAACACTGTTATATTTTTAGAGTTTAGATTTAAACAACTTCTTTACACAAATATGCAAATGTTGTATTATAAATTTTATGATATTTTCTATTTTTAGAGAGAAAATTTTATGCTAGTGTTAACTCGCGTTTTTGTATTTTTTTTTCTTTTTTTGACATTAAGTAGATTAGATTTGAGGTGGCGCCATTTTGAAAACTAAATTATGCGAAGTATAGCTTCATGTGACAGTTTTCAATCATTCTGTTGTGCAGATTCATCATCCAAGGTATAGACGTGCATTTATGAATCACCTTGTACAGTACATTGTCTGTATTGCACCTACTAATCGTCGGAGAAGATTTAAAAGTTCGTTGCAGCCGATGAATGGGTTAACGACGCAATAATTTGCTAGCTGAATTGTTTAATCAAACATCCGGTGATAACATCCGGGGAATGGTAGCTTTTAGTAGATTTAGACGAATATCAACGCTGTCATGTTACGCATTTGCTACACAACGTGTAATCTTTATCGCTGCTTTATTTAACGGGAAATCGATTTAAATGATACGCTGAAACGCGTCAATGGACAACGTGCTGTTTCATCAATTGTACAGCCTTTCAAAGAGACAGCGATATTTTTCACGCGAGTGAGAGAGAGAGAGAGAGAAAGACGCGAAAGCTGCGAATTGCAAATGGAGAGAGGACGATGTAAAATCCACCTTGCCGATCTCACTTTGTGCAATTTAGTTATACAGCTAAATAACGTTTTTGAACATAAGATTGTCATTTTGTTAAAACTGCAAACGCCGGCAGACTCTATTTTTGAATAATTTGATGAAAAATGAAAAGGAAAAGAAACTTTGTCATTTGAGAAGAAATGCATTTTTGCCGCCGAGAGCTTTACCTGTAATCCGTATCTCCGCGTACGATGATTCTTGCATGACGAAAAAGAAGGCTTTCGCTGCCGGAATGTAAGAGGATAAAGAGAATAGGGTCTGCCTCTGAAAGTGGCGAAATACTCTTTCGCGAGTATTTTAATCCCGTAGACGAAATTCCTTTTTTTTCATTCGTGGAAACATTCGCGAAATGAATCCATAATCCATCGCGTTTTTTCCAATCCCACCGTGCTCTGTCGTCGAAACAGGCTAATAACGAGACAAGAAATAACAAAATTACATGCCAACGACTACTAGGTGCAACAGTTGCACGCGTGTGGAAATGGAAACGAGAATCCTCAAGGGAGCAGGATAGTTTGACGGGTCTAATTTACGAATACTTTGAAGGGCTAGTAAAAAAAAAGTACATATTTGAGCTTTTGTGACATGAGCTTTTGTGGTTTAACATATTATTATGAACTATAAAAAGCAACATTAAAAAAGAAAAAAGGCGAGCTCTTAATTAACTTTTTAACGGCATCCTTTTACATAACTTTTTTTTACATTGCCTATCGGTGTGCATGATTCCAGCCAAACAGGATTAGCTGCAACAAAAAGGCAGAAAAAGTTCAAAAGTAAACAATATTCTCTAGGGATTGACGATCCAACATTTTGATTTTTGTGAAAATTATGATATATATATATATATTTGTTTTTGATGTATCGAATTTATGCCAAAAATTTCTACGTCTCTTGTTTATATTTTTCGAAATTGTTAAAAATTAAAAAAATATTCAATACCTAGTAAATGTACGTACCAAGTTTCAGGGTAATCGGTTGGTTAGATTCCGAGATATCTTGCAAACCGTTTCTAAAAACCTAGTTTTGAGAAAAACGCAACTTTAAAGTCTCAGAACGTCATCTTTCACATGTGTCTTTTACTATATTTACTTATATATATCGCGGATCACAATCAAATCCCCTGATATTCGATTCACCAAAAGTAATATTTGAATCATACGATTTACACTTTATAATACTGCTGAAAGTTGTGATAAACAGTGATACAAATTCAATTATCCGCAGATTTATTATTATACCTCCAAGATAAGTCGTTTTAGAGGCTAGGACCTCTTTCTATCTCATTTCCAAGACTTCAAACTACTATTTAAAGAAAGAAAAAAATCGATATTTTGAAAATTTCAAACTATCCTGACCCCTTAACTTTCGTCTGAATGAAAGTCCAGATTCCATCCATCCTGGAAACTGGATCGTCTCTGGACGATCATTGAGATTTCCTCGAAAGACAAGACGAGACGCGGCAATCTCGGCTCGATTGATGGATTCTCACGTGGAAACCGTGTTTCGATTTGCCCCATTTGCCAGGCGGCGAATCTGTTCTTCGCGGCTGCTTTCCTGGTGCCGCGTTCCTTCAAGGCGTCAGTGCTGGCGCTGCGCACCTTTCTCACGGCCGGCTTTATGCTGGCCGCCCTCTGGGCCGGGATCACCATATGCGCCCTGGACGCGATGCTATGGTGTCTGGCGCTCGGCCTTCTCAACGGGATCCACTCGCTCATACTAGCCTGCCGATTTCTCCCTCCGGCGCTCAGCCCCGAGCTGGCCGAGCTCTATCTCAAACTCTTCAAGCCGTACAAGGTCAGCAAGAAACACTTCCAGGAGTTGGCCAAGGAGGCGAGGATACTGAAGCTGGACTCCGGTCAGACGTACGCGACCGAAGGTGTCACCCCCGCCGACGAACGACTGTCGATACTGTTGCGCGGCAAGTGAGTATTATTTATGCATTCCCTCCCGCTCTGAAACTGTTCGATACGTCGGTTCCATTCTTTTCTTCATTTTCTTCTCCTTTTTTCTCGAGTTTCATCGAAGCTTCGAGAACTCTGACTGAGTCTTCAACACGTTCCGCCACTACGCGAATAATAATAAAAGGTGAATTCGAAATAATAATGAGTCCTTAACAGCTGTGGCTTTTTTCGTAATATTTTTACGTAATGTGTTACTTGCGTTACTTATATGAAAACAGTAAATAAGCGAAACGAAGGATTTTACATAAATGTTTACGTATGTGTGTGACACTGGATGATATAATTTTATAAATTTATTTTATATTATATTTTACATAATTATATGATATATGGTGTCATTCTTGATCTTTCGTAGCTCTAAAATATGTCATTTATCACGTGATTGAATTCGTCTTGACAGCCACTTTCGTACAACAAACAAACGAACAGAAAAAGAAAAATAACGTTCTGTGTGAAAAATTAAATTAATCACAATTAAATCACTTTAGTTTGGTGAAAAATATTGCAAACATAAAAAATCGTTATGCATTGCTGTGTCGTTTGTACAACTTTGTCATTTGCCACTTTTTCCTCTTGTTTGTCATATCCGAGAAAAACAGAAATAAACATTGCAAACAAAAGCAAACATTCTACATACATATATTATATCATATTATATCATACAGTACGTCACATATCATTTCTGAACGACTCACTACATATGTGACGCGTGGTCGCAAACGTTGTCAAGACTACGTTTACGTTATACGAAGCTCAAGTTTTAAAAAGTTTTAAAGCTTTAAGAAGCTTGTCAACCTACCAACAACCTCAAACAGCCTACGATATTGCTTATAATCCATGTAGAATTTAGACGGTTCGAGCCTCGACTGGTTTAAGAGTTCGAGGGCTCGAAACGCTTAAACCTTCGAGGTTCAAGCCGCGAAAGCTAAATAGAATTTCCAAGCTGCAGACTCAAAGCTTATTTGATACATACGCCGCTACAAAGGAAGAGACGATTCGAAATTAGCATTCCATATAGCAGTCTCGAACGAGGCCTCCTCAACTGCTCATGCCTTCCTCTACGCCTCTCTCGAATCTCGAGACACGAAGCATAAATTTTAACGATTTTATATTTTTCTCAAGTCGAAACTCGTGCGCGGTCGTGAACTGGAACAGTTTCGCCAATCGTTTCGTTGTTTCCAGAAACGATTCGACGAATCAAGAATCGTTTCAATAACGAAGAGAGTAGAAAAAAGTATTAATAGCCAATGGACAACTTTACGTAAAAAGAGAATGAAAACGACATTGATATTTTGCATCCGCTCGTACGGTAATTAAAAGCACGTGACGCGATCCGAGTCACGTTTCGTTTCCTTTTTCAAATCGAACTTATAACTCGATTTATAGAACTCGCGGATCGTGTTTGCGTACGAACTGCCGAAAGTTCAAAAATCCCGTTGGGTGAACGTGTCTCGATGAATTTTAAAAAGCGAAAATGGTAGCTGCGTCGCGATTCAAGGAATTTAAAACGGCGCGCACGGCTTGCACGGTAGTCTTGACGTCACGTAGATTTTACCTTTTGTTTCCCGCTTGCGTACGCGCGTAAGTTTAACCCCTTGCGCTGGAAACTGGCTCGCGGACCATAACGAGCGACCGAACCGTGTACAATAACTTGTCGCTTACTTTTTCTTTTGAACTCGTCGGTATGATGTCACTGGACAGAAATTATTAAGAAGTAATAAAGTAATCATGATATAATATTATAATATAATATATTATAATATAATATAATATAATATAATATAATATAATATAATATAATATAATATAATATAATATAATATAATATANATACAATATAATACAATATAATATAATATAATACAATATAATACAATACAATACAATATAATATAATATAATACAATATAATACAATACAATACAATACAATACAATACAATACAATACAATACAATACAATACAATACAATACAATACAATACAATACAATACAATACAATACAATACAATATAATATAATATAATATAACATAATATAACATAATATAACATAACATAACATAACATATAATATAATATAAAATAATATAATAATTTAATAATCATAATAAAATAATCAAGTAATAAAATATCACTTGTTTTGCCTGGGTTACATTTGAATATACTTAAAACTGAGAAAATGTTGCAATTTCAAAAATTCTCGACGTGTATGGCACGTTATTCCAGCGCAAGAGGTTAAACAAAGATCGCTCGTTAAACTTTGAAACTTATTCTAAATAGAAACGTAACGCGTTCATCTTTCTTCGATCTTCTCTCTTCCTCGTTTCTCGTGTCCCTGAAATCTTGAGAGAGCCGGGTTCGATAAAGCTTTCCAGCAATAAATAACAATGAATAACGAGGAGGTACAGAGAATTGGATCCCTCCTTTATCGTTGAATCGCAGCAGCCTCGAAAGATGCCGAACTTGCGGGAAAATTACGCAAAACTATTCACCGCGCAACGGTGGAGGATTCTCGAGTCCCGAACCACCATCCCTGAAACGTTCGGCGAGAAGTTTATTTACATCTGCCATTGTCGTTACGTTCCCCGCGTTTGCACCCCTGTTGGGCTTGGCATAAACAGCCCCTAACTCTCTCGAGGGAAGTAGGTAGAGAGGTCGGACTGTCTAACGAATGGTTTGGAGTCCAGGCTGAAGGTGACCTGCGACGGGACGCACCTGCACTACATCAAAGCCTATCAGTTCGTCGACTCGCCGGAATGGGAAGCGATGCACGAGAACATCGACGACGTCTTCCAAGTGACGATACGAGCGGAGGAGTCCAGCACGTACATCTGTTGGACGAGGCTGAAGTTGCTCAGAGTACTCAGGCATAGGCCCCTGCTCAAGGTCGTCCTCAACACCCTCATCGGTAAGGACATTACGTCCAAGTTGTACGCCCTTAACGAGCAGCTCGCTGGTGTCGCCGCGGCCAGTGAGACAACCACGTCGAATCCTTACAGGGGCGTCGCGAGAAGTCTCAGCGTCGACGCCGTAAACACTGAAACTGCCGGAAGAGTACGATCGACGACGTGGAAGGCACAGAGGAGGCACAGTAACCCGCGTAGCGACAGTAAGTTCCCTCCACCTCCTTTCTCTCTGTAATTTTGCCAAAGGAATGACAGTCGTTGGAAAAATCTTTTCCGACAACCGAAGTTTTTTTTTTATCAAAATCGTAACATCGATAAATTTAAAATTGCAAACATTAAAATGTTACAACAATGTTAGCAGTATTAAAATTATAACGTCGATATTGAATTTTTCATGTCGAAGCAACTGAAATTCGTTTATTATTTACGTTTATGCGAGAATAGTAATGTCGGAATTAATGTAAGGAAGATGTCCTCGTCAGTAGTGAAATTTAGCGAAATAATTCTGACACTGTCGTGAAAGCATTTGAAGGCTTCTTCATCGTATACGTTGTAATTTTTTATGACATTGCAGTATTTTCTTTTTTTTTTTTCGGAAATAGCACAGCAAAATGTTTCTCTTTGATTTTCAAAGTCGAGTTTGAAATCGACGCCAAACAATTGTTAACGAAATCGTTAATCATTTTCCTTTTCTGGAACAAGCTTGAACAATCAGATATCAGATCGCACAATGAATTTGCGATTTAAGATAAAGTCAGTTACAACTCTTAAAAAACAAATGCAATTACTTTTTGGCCAACCCAAATACACGATTGGAAAATTAAAAGTTTTGGTTAGAAGTAACAATAATAAGTGACTTTTCGTTAATCGATAATCGTTATTGGCGAGAAGAATTTTATATCGGTCATTTATAATGGTTATCGATAAGGGAAATTTATTTCGGTTGCTTGCAACAGTTATCGACGATGGAAACTCCATTTCGGTCGTTCGTAATACCATAAAGCATAAGTTCGCATAGCATAAAGCTGCATATTTGCATATTCGACCGAAACAATCCTCCGCAACAGCAATGAAACATTTTGAAAACTGTAAAGTTATTTTCTGATGCGAACCGAAATAAATTTCCCTTATAGATAATTATTATCAGCGACCGAAAGAATACCTAGGAAACAGTTTCCCTCGCTCCAAAACTGTTAAACAAGTAATCGAAATAAATTTCTCTCGTCGACAATGATTATTAGCAACGAAAAATTTTTTCTTGAAACTTGTAATCGTTGTTTGCAATCATTTTGGTCAAAAAAAAAAAAAAAAAGAAAATAATTTTTCTCCTGTAACATTTTTCATTCTGGTTATAATAGTTATGGTCCCCGAATTTTACACTTTCATTTTAGAACAATTTCGGGCGTTAATCCATTGTGCACAGTGAATCAAAAAAGTATCGGCATACCTAGTTTTTTGACAAATAACCAGTTAATCCAACAGTTTACTACATAGAAAAGTAATGTACACAGTAGCAATTTTGAATAATAATAATAATAATGTAAGTAATATAAAAATTTGTAAACCAAAAAGGTATTGATATATCTATCATATCAGTTCTATCATATATTCGAACAGAGTACAAAATATTTAGCGTAAGTATAAATAATAGAAGACGAGCGTCCTTTCTTAATCTATTTATTTATTTATTTATTCATTTTTCACGGGAAACCCATTAGTACAAAAAAATGATACAATTATAAAAATTTTAAATGAAGTGACGTATGAGAGCGAGTGAAAAATTATAACGAGATGCTAAGTATCGATCAAACAACGTGCATTACTAGCGTTAATGAACATACGATTATATCGATATCATTCGATATTCCATTTGCGAAAGAATATTTTACAATTTTTCCGCTATTTGGCATATCAATAATTTACTTATCCTGTATTATCTTGTACCATCGTCGCATAATTCGTTACTAGAAATTGCCACTGTGCACTTGGTTATTCTTGCACGGTAGAATAAACTGTTTTGCCAACGGGCAATTTACTTTCACAATGACATCTCTAAAGAAACTAAGTGTGCCGCTTCAACTTAATTTCCAACCTCGAACGCAGCGTCGCACATTCCTCCCTCCCGTCAAAAGTGAAAAATTATATTCCCGCCCCGGAATATAATCTGTTTGCGCCTCGTTCTTAATCAATGTGCGCCGTCGTGCGTCTCGAACGTTGAAAGGATTGATCCAGGCGTTCGTCTGATCGACCGCGGGAAAAGCACGTTCCCCGAAATAAAACTGCACGATCACCGTTCCCAATTACACTCCGCTGTGAACGCGGGCACCCAATCGTCGACCAAATATTCAAATACTACTCCCCCCTTCCCGCTGACTGTCGAATCTCTGTAGACAGTGACTGATGTCGGTCACGGAAGAGGCGGACGGCGGGCGTTGATCGATCGATATGAAAATAGTAATTAGTCGGCTTGGCTGATTGGCATGGCGCGTGTGACGAGGAATCGAAATGAATTGTCTGCCCGCAGGGAGTTCGCCGTCGCGGTACTCGCACCAGTACTGGGCGCCGGTGGTGGCGAATCACTTCCCGCCGACCTCGCCGTTCACCCAGGGCCAAAACCTCGGCTACACGTTGCTGCCGCAGGCCGTTCAGTTCTCACCGCCGTCGCGGGCACCCTTTCTCTCGCATCAGCCGTTGACGCGGCAGCGCAGCGGAGGCACCAGCGGCGATTACACCCTGCTACCTCAGACACCGAAGCTCGAGAGGAAACGCTCGAAAAAGGGGACGAGGGAGGTGAGTAGCCAGCCAGCGGTAGCGACTACCTACCCGCTCAATTACCCACAACGAAATGAGATGTTTAGAGCGACGCGAGTGGCGATTACGCGCGAGTGGAAGATCGTGCCGGATGACGCTGCGCTTTTCGCCTTGGATTCTTTCACGCTCCTACACGCAAACGTCTTTGTTTCCACCGATGTGTTCCCTGTGTGCCCAGTATAATTATTTCGTCCCTTTTTTTTTTTTTTTTTTTTTCCCTTTTTTTTTTTTTTTTTTTTTCTTAGTTTCTCTGGATTCTTTCTTTTCTCGTCGTGTTCAGCAGGCAGGTTCTGCATATTTGCGTGTATTTGTTTTTTGTGCAATGGCCGCTAGTGTAATTATTTGGTTTTCTTTTTTTTTTTTTTGGTTTCGTTGGTTTCTTTGGATCCTTTCTTTTCTTGTGTTTTTTGGAATGTTTAGCCGAACGGTGATCTTGGTTGTTTTTGGTTCTGTAATTAGGCGCCATTTGTTTCGTGCCAATACTATTGTTTTTTTGGTTTCGTCGAATCGTTTTTGTTTTTTGTTGTATTTGAAATATTAGTAGGAGGGGTGATTTTGGATGATTTTGATTTTTAATTAGGTGTCAATTATGTGCATTTGTTTCGTGCAATGGCCGCTAGTGTAATTATTTGGTTTTCTTTTTTTCTTTTTGGTTTCTTTGGATCCTTTCTTTCCTTGTGTTTCTGGAATGTTTAGCCGAACGGTGATCTTGGTGTTTTTGGTTCTGTAATTAGGTGTCATTTGTTTCGTGCCAATATTTCTTATTATTTCTTAGTTTCATTGAATCGTTCTTGTTTTTGTTGTATTTGAAATATTAGTAGGAGAGGTAATTACGTGTATACTACGTGCTAGTAATACTTGTTACGTGTAGTCGTTTTGTGCAGTTATTTCGTTTTTAGTTTCTTTGAATCCTTTTTGTTTCTGCTGCATTTGAAATATTAGTAGGAGTGATTTTGAGTTTTTGATTTTTAATTAGGCGTCAGCTACGTATACAACAATGGGTGCCAGTGTAATTATTTCGTTTTTGTTCCCTTTGGATTCCTCTTTTTTCTTTTTTTTTTTTTTTCTTTTGTATGTTACATTTAAAGGTTGATCCCGAATTTTTAATTTTTAATTAAATACCAATTACAAAAGAAAAAGTTAGAAATAAAAGATTCAGAAAAATATTTCGTCGGCATTTATTCAGACAAGATTACAATAAAGGTTATTACAAACCAGACAAAGTAAAAACAAACGAAAGGTAAAAATAAACCAAACAAAGAAACAATTTCAAAAATTTGTATTCCAAACGTGTTCCGAAATGTTCTCCTTTCAACAGGGGACAGAATGCAAAGAAAATGTAAAATCCAATTGACGCTAATTGTAATTAGATCGTTCCAGAGAGTTGATAATGCAAAGCTATTAACGCGGTACTAGTAGAATTACCCCAAATTGGTCAGACGCCACGTTGCACGGTTGATTCGATAAACCGAAACGTAGAAATTAGTATCGTTTCAACGCTGCACTTGGCTTTCGAACGCTGCTATAAAACACGGCTCTATAATTTCGCCCAATTGGCACAAATCAACTTCACATTAATTCAAACAAATTCAGCGGCGATTTGACTCGAATTGAATTCCCATTTAATCAGTTAAGTTCACTATAAAACTTCCAACTCGATCGCCGATTATTATTTTTGCCAACACCTGCATCCAGCGGCTAGAGTTTCACAGAAATTTTCCATGACACCGTTGTTCAGCAACCCGTACACGTTTTCGTCCAAAGCTTTTGTTTATCTGGTCTCTCTCTACTGCCAGATTCTCGCGATCGACGCGATCCTCCGTCGGTTTTTTTCTCTTTCTTTTTCCTTTTTTTTTTATTCCTCGACGGTGATTCATTCGACGTTGGAAAATATAGAAAGGCGTGGCTCGTTCGTCTTTCGCCGGAGCGCAAAACGAAACGGAGGGAATATCCGCGTCGACGACATAAATCGTCAGGTGGTGGAGATCGGTAGAAAAAGCTCGACGAATATATCGCTTCGAAAAAAAAAATAAAGAAAAAAAGAGAAAAATAAAAAATAAAAGAACTCGATTACCGCGCGTACTCGAGCCAGAAAAGTGGGCCAATATTGAATTAGCATCGGCTTCGCTTCGGCAATCCCCCTACCCCTGGCTAGGTGACTTTACTCTCAAGCCACACGCAGAGAATGAAATGAACAGAGATCCGACTGTCGTCCACTCTTGAATGGAGTTGTCTTGCGCGAGTAAGGGACTTGAAGAGATAACACTTCAAGTCACGAGTGTCGGAGAAAACTAGCCTTGCTTCGTACGAGCAAACGACGTGACGTTAGGTGCACGCCTCCATTCCTTTTTACTCTCGTTCTTCCTCGGGGCGAATTTCGCTAATCGACGGCTTTGCGCTGCCTTTCTGTTTCAAATGGATTTTACGAATTAATATTTTTACGTAATCCAGTTGAACGTAGTGTAGTAGAGTATATGTAAAACGTATATGAAAACCGCAGAAAAAGGAACGAGGAGAGAAGTCACATTTTTCTTCTCGTATCGTTAGTTCGCGTATTAAGACAGGATTGTTTGACGGGCCTAAAAATTACGAATATTAAGTACATATTTGATTGACATGATTTTGTGGTTAATTTAACGCATTATGAACTATAAAAAAAAAAAAAAAAAAATACAAAAAGAGGGATCTTATTTCACTTTTTAACCGCATCCTTTTACATAATTTTTTTTTACATTGCCTATCGGTGTGCATGATTCCAGCGAAACAGAATTAGCTGTAACAAAAAGGCAAAGAAAGTTCAAAAGTAAACAATATTTTCTAGGGATTGACGATCTAACATTTTCATTTTTGTTTTTGATGTATCGAATTTATGTCAAAAATCTCTATATTTTTTGTTTATATTTTTCGAAATTGTCCAAAATTGAAAAATGTTCAATCGTCAATCCCTAGTAAATGTTACACTAAAGATACGCACCAAGTTTCACAGTAATCGGTTGATTAGTTTCCGAGATATCTTGCACACCGTTTCTAAAAACCTAATTTCGAGAAAAACGCGTTTAAAGTTTCAGAATGTCATTTTTCACATGTGTCTTCTATTTACTTTTTTTATTTATATATATATCGCGGCTTACAGTTCTTACAATTCACAACTAAATTGAATCCAACTCGCCTGATATTCGATTCACCAAAAGTAATATTTGAATCACACGATCTACACTTTATAATACTGCTGAAAGTTGTAAACAGTGATACAAATTCAATTATTCTGTATCCGCGGATTTATTATTATATCCCCAAAATAAGTCTTAATAAGTTTTAAAGGCTGGGATATTTTCTATCTTATTTCCAAGACTTCAAACTGTTGTTTAAAACAAAAAACCAAAAAAATCAATTTTTTGAAAATTTCACACTGTCCTGACCCCTTAAAATTCGTATCAAATCTTTGAAGAGATCTTATTCCGGTGATGATCGCGCTTGTTGAAAGGGATAGAAGCTCTCCCGCGGTTTCAAGAGGTTTGGGGCATCTAAATTGAGAAACATTCTGAAAGGACGATCAATCACCATATCGCTGGCAGAACTCCATCATTAGAATGGAGTCACTGGACTGGCGATGCATTTAATCTGAATCGCCCGGTAATAAAATATTTCCTGAACCGCAAACTTTGCCGAGGAGAAGCTTGAACGATGCGGGACAATGGTTGCGTTTAAACGACAAAAGCGAGTAGATGATCGTAATGCTCCTCCACAATTACAGAGGAGCGGTAAGTAGCGTCAGTTATACTAAACGCCCTCTTGATTTCGTATTCAACGCTCGCAACGATCCAAGAAAATTATGCCATTTCCAACCGAGCCAGAGCCACTCGCGGACCCGTTACACCCCTACTTATCACTCGAAATAAAGTAATTCGAGGCGGTTAGATCAGGGCTGGGTAAATTCACGAAAGCTCACGACAACCGTGCACGATAACATTCTCCACGTGAACGCGGCGTAATCGTTTTGTAACGACGAGCGCGGCTATTCATCATCGTTCTCCTCTCCGGTTTTCATGATACAAAGGGGAACGGGGGAAGTTTGAATAATGCGAAATAATGCTTGCGTAATTGTACAGAGGCCCGTCGCTGCACATGTGAATAGAAGACTGGAAGGGTGTCGCGCCAATTGCGAATAACCGAGACAAACATTCAGGCAAAAATTTTGCAATAGAACTGCACGCATGTTCACAAATATTCGAACGAACGATAATGGAGATTACGATAGTCCTCTTACGATATGTCGAAGTGTGAATCACCGATCAAATTCGGCGTAAATGTAGAAAAATGTTTCAGAAAAATGTTCGACTCGTATATTTTGTTACTTTTCTTTTTCCGTCGATGTTGAAGCGCTGAAAACTGAAAATCCTCAGAATAGTGTTTTTTTTTTTTTCTTTAACGACAAATTCCATAGTGTATACGATTTTGCAAAAAAAAAAAATCCTTTGTACATGTTTAAACAATATATTAAAAGAACCATATTTTTCACAAGTTTCTCTAAGTAAGTGTTAATAAATTTTTTTAAATAACTGTTTACGAGAACGACGTATCATCGAGCATCTTCGATTTCGGCATTGTAAAAAAATTCTTGAAACTTGAGGAAAACAAGAACCAAGCGTTGGCGAAGCATTTTGCATTGAATATTCCAGATAACATTTGACTCGTTTCGTATTCTCGCTGAAAATGATCCTTTATTCCATGCTTAAAAATTCGAGTTCTCGAAACTCGACGCTTCCTTTCGAGAGATTTCGAGGTTTCTTTCTCCACTGCTCGGGATGTAAGAAATCTAGAAAATATAAGATTCAAGATACAGAGTCTCCAACAATTTTACCTTTCTTATCTCCTCGTCCTTATCTAAATTCGCGTGAATTTTCTCGTGCGTTTCGTGAACGAAATGTCGCGTAGTATCGAGGTCAACAGGAAGCGAGGAAATTCGTTCCGCGGAAACAACGTGAACGATGAAAAGGATTAATACGAGGGAGGGGGGGGGGGGGGGGATTGGCTCGCTAAGAACGACAGGATCGCATGCGACGCGTGAATATTTCAGTGGCACGTACGCCTTAACGTGTTTCGCGCGACGCATTAAAGGGTTGGCGAAACGCGAGACCGAGTGGTGCAATTTTTAAACGAAGCCGTCTCCTTTAAAAAAAAAAATTCACATGGTTGCTTGTGTGTTTCGTTCTCAGATCTCTTAATTAGTCTGGCTAATTCGCCTTGGCAAGCGTGAAAATAATCCCGAGCGGAGCTTGATTTCGCGAGGCTGATACGAGGGGAGTTGTTTAACGATATTTCGCATCGGCATCGGAACAGGGGAAACTGGATTTCTACTCGAGCACGTGACAACCGAAGCCCGTGAAGTTTAATCAGAATGCAAGAGACGACGGCGTTGTTGGATTAATCGCGGCGGAATGCGTTTTGCATCCTCAATTATTGATCTAATCTCCCTTTCTTCGCGCTATTCAAGTACTTTTTAAGGAACAATTTCTTTTTCTTTTTTTTTCTTTTTCTTTTTTGCTTTATTCTCTTCGCAACGTCGGAAGGAAACTTTTCAATATCGAAAGGGGAAATAACATCGACACGATTTTGAGAAGAGTGATTTCAAATTCAAATTCAAGTGTGAATCTATGTTTCATGTGTTGGACTTTAGGTGGGCAGATGTTATTGATAACTTTGGCTCGTCCTAGGAACAAGCGTAGAATGTGGAATAAAATAGTATTACAGTATTATAGAAATATATCCGGCCAGAAGTGACAAATTTCCTTGGCTATTCTGGAACAATCACGATAATATACAGGCGAGCTCTTTTGGCTTTTAGCTTTGACCTTTACGCGCGACTTCTTAGCAACACGCCTTTTAGTGTTACGAGGCACGTGTTGAGTAACTACCAGACCTTAATGCCTTTCGCATTGAAAAACGTTTTAAGGTCTAGGCTACGCTGCTAAAGACATTTTCAGAGTATAATCTGGTTTATTATAGGAGGAGTATCAGTTAATGAAATTGTATGAATATTTTAGTAGCTTTTAAAGATCGATCACGAGAGGAAATTACATTTTCGAGTAATAAATGGCACGTAGCCGTGTAGTTTTTTTTTCTTCTTTGAAGCGTGGATTTTTTGTTCTCATCGAACTACTCTTCAGCCGCACATTTTCGACGTACAAGATATCGAGACGTTGTCTCAACGGATGGAAGATTGTTTGACGATCGTAATTATAATTATAAGATTACTCGTATTTAAATTGTTTTACTGTGCTATTATCGCTAGTAGAATTACTAGAAATTGGTCAGACGTCATTGTGCGTGGTTGAGTCGACGAATTGAAACGTAGAAATTAGCATCTCCTCGGCAGAACCTGCTTTAGAAACTGTGTAGATTTAGTTCTATAATTTCTACTAATTAATAATACATACATACATACATCATGTGTGTATTATACATACGAGGATCATGTGTATTGTACACGTGTGTACATACGAGGATCCAATTAATTTTTTCCAACCAATTTTAGAATATATCAAACTAGAGACCGATTGTAATAAACAATAAATTCACGTAACCAATGAATTTTTATGAGATGTAATTTTTTTTCCTTTTTAAATGTAGATTTTGTTCGTCAAACTACTTTTCACTCATATTTTAATGCGCAAAATATCAAGATATTGTTATCTTAATAATTTTATACGTTGAAATGCAAAATTGTTCGACGATAATTAGGATATTCGTATTTAAACTTCATAGAGTTTGGAAGTGCAACGTTATTATCGTGGTACTAGTAGAATTACTACGAATTGGTCAGACGCCACGGTACACGGTGACTTGACAGACTGAAACGTAGAAATTAGTATCTTCTTGACTGACAGAACGTCAGGACTACTTTTAGAAACTACATAAATGATAGAGTTATGTAATTTCAATTAATTAACGTTAACTATATATCGATTGTGATAATATTAATTAATATAACACATTATGTATTATCATCAGAATCCGACAAATTCTTTTCAACTAATTTTAGAACATGCTGAACTGGTGACGCGTTTCAATAGAGATTGTGAACGTGAAATTGATTGAGTGGAACGCAGTTGTTGCACTAATTTGACGCATTCGGATAATTGCTCTACCCTTTCCGAATTCTTGGTCAGGATGGCACCGCGTATATCCAGAAACACTCAACAGCTGTGTTATGCAAATCTAATTATAGAGGCGGCTAGATCGTTAGTGTACGGATCTGTCGCGAAATGTGATGGTTAATTCCTGGCTGTTACTGCGGAGACCACTTAAATTTCAATTATTCTAATGAACGAGAAGACTCTCCCGTTATCAATCGCGTCTAATACGTTGTAAATTTTCCTCATGCTCGACGTTCTCATCGCCTCGAAATTATTACGGTTTTCATTAGCAAGTAATAACACACGTATTTACTTATCCGCGCACTCGTTTGTCTCTGGTTTGTAATTTATCTTATAATTTTACTCCTTTTCAATAAACGTTTTGTAATTTTGTATCGAACAGAATCGAATTTGGTGGTTGATCAATCAAGGACAAGATATATATTTTGAGACCAAACTTAATTAAACTTGAATTCTGCTATTCTTCACTCAGTGATCACATCTACATTATCTACTTTGCACAGAGATCAGAATCCACGCTATTCACACTTTTTCTCAACATGTGTCCTCGTTTTCTTTCTCAGTCTCATTCCTTTTTTTCTGACTCTCAGACCTTCGAACCCCGAGGGATATGTACAGAGATATGTGATCGACACCAATCGTGACTGTTCTTGTTGAATGCCACGCGAATTTTTTGAACTTGCACCGCACGTTCTACTTTTCTTTTATACCAGTGGCCATTTCCTCTAAACCGTGGTCTTTTAATTGGCCCGAAAGCCCAAAAGATGAATCAGTGTCACAATTGAAATTTTTGTAACACTGAAAACCTAAATATCAATAAAACTGATTTTTTTTAATAATAAAGTGCAAGATTTCACAATACCCTGTGTCAAAAATTAAAATAGCCAATGTCAATCGGTCAACAATGCGTTAACATTCTCGAAGTTACTAAAATTGATCTTGCAACAATGTCATCTCAATTAACCTCTTGCGCTGGAATGACGTGTCGCATCGATAATTTTTTCTCACGAAATTGCAACATCATTTCCTCGGTGTTAAGTATATTTAAATGCAACCCAGACAAAACAGACATGTTATTATCTCTTAATAATTTCTATCCAGTGGCATCGTACCGACGAGTTTGAAAGAAGAAGAAAGCGACGAATTATTGTATTCGGTCACTCGTTATGGTCCGCGAACCAGCTGCCAGCGCAAGTGGTTAAAAGCTCAACAGCGTCTCCTTTCGTTCCTCGTGGCTAGCCACGCGGCAATGTTAGGCAATCATCGTTGTTTTCTGAACTTGTTGCAGGTGACGTTCGAGACGCCGGTATGACGGTCGCTCGACGGGGAGGGCCCTGCAAGCGTACCACTTCTGTCGCTGTCGCCGCAGCGTTCCGCCTAGCCCCGTCGAGATCATCCCCGAAACGTGACCCACCTGTCACGCTGGTTCGTTGCGTGGTCCGGCTAGACCGAGAGAATCGCGCACTGTCCGGCCTATATCCAGCCAGCAGCCGCCTAGAGAATTGTCGCGTTCGAGACACTTTCAAGAACGACACGTACGACACGACGAACATTCGATTGCGCAGTCTGTGCAATCTATTCTGTGTGTATGCATGTGTATGCGCGCGCCTGTCTCTGTATGCGTAATAATACGTGCAAATGTGTATGCCTGTGTGTGTTTGTGTGTGCCTGAGAGGAAGAGAGTGCGCGCGTAGAACGCTCGCAGAAACCTCCGTTCGTACTTGATGAGCCGAAGCAAGCTCGAAACGGACACAGCTGGTCGAGTACTAGATTGGAGGAAGACGCACGATGATCAGACCATGTTCATATCCCGCAAGTGCTACGCCTTACACGTAACTGATACTTACACGCATCGCCGTGCACGTAACACGCACGTGCACAAGTAAAATTACCTGAGCGGAATACCCTCGATCGAAAAGCCGTGTGGAATCGCGATCGATCGTGGTGGAAGGAGTGTGCACGGTGTTCCCCGCACGACACACGAGTGACCGGATATATGTATATATGTGTATATATATATATATATATATATATACATATACATACAGCGAAATGCATCTGTTCCTCTTCCTCTTCTTCCACCTCATCCTTTCGTTTCTTCCAGTTGCTCTTCTTTTACTGTTTCCACTACTTCCTCTCGTTCGTGGGACTTCTCCATCGAGGGAACGGAGGGAGTTAACGTCGTTGGAGGCGGAGGTTCGTGGAGAAGTTAGAAGGAAAGACTTGACCAGAAAGTCGAGAAAGCGGTGAAACTGGGACGAAGAGGAAAGTTTCGCGGGCCAGGTGATGAAAGGCAAGAAGGGAGAGCGAAAGGGGGTGGAGAGAGGCTGGCTTGGGTAACTCGAATTACACGCTCGATCGTTGGAACATCGTATCTTTCACGCTTCGAGTCTGGCGAGGAGGGACGAACGAGGGAGTCCAGAAGAAATTCAAAAGGTCGCGTTTATGGTGCTTTTATACTTCGCGTGAAAAACCGGGAACGATCTTTAATCCTTCGCGCGTTAATTTTTCGCGACTCTCCCCTTTCCTCTCCCCTCCTTCCTCTTCTTTTTTGGTCGCGCGAGTGACCTTCGATCGGCAACCGATGGATCAAGAAGTTGCGAGGTTGGTCACCGAGGAACACCGACGCGTTTTTTGCCAACTTTCTTCGAAGAGGAGCTCGAACAGGAACACGCCATTCGGAATACCTACCGAACGATTTCCAAAATGATGTAGAAAGAGAAAAAAGGGAATGAAAACGTAGATTATATCGTATACTTCCGCTGTGTACACCCTTACATCGACTGTGATTATAACGGATATAATTATTAAGTCTTTCAGAGTGTATGCACAGAGTGAATACACAGTACGGGGGACGCGAGTTTTAACGAGTGCGGGATTACATAGGGGTCCTCGAGGTCGGTAAGTTCAGACGTCCGTTCTTCCCCGATTTCCAGTGGTTTTTCTTCCAACACGGAGCGGAATTCATTTTCAAGGTGTTCGCTCTGAAGCCGCCGGAAAGCGTTGCGTTGGTTCGAGGAATTTGCAATTTTCGTGAGTTCAACGAAGAATCTTCGTCGATTGATCGCGTCGGGTAAATCTTTCTCTAATTACTGTCGTCTATCAATATAATTTTTATACATTATTATTTATTTATTATTGCTTATTTTATAATTATTTATTATTTATTTATTATTATTTATTTTATAATTATTTTATATTTATTTATTATAGTTTATTTTATAATTATTTATTATTTTTTATTATATTTATTTTATATTTATTTTTTATATTTATTATTTATTTTATAATTATTTATTATTTATTCATTATTATTTATTTTATAATTTTATACTATTTACATATTTTTATATGTTACTATTTATTAATTGTACCTTATTAATTTAATTTCTTTCCTTTCATTTTTCCATTAATTTCTTTCCTTTAATTTTAATTCCGAGCGACGAAAATCTTCTATTCCTCGAATCTATGCTGTTAATGCACTTCTCAATCAATCCGGGAAACGTTCTCTATTGGAAACATTTAGCGAGGCATTCGTTTCCTCGATGCATATAGCAGCCGACTCTTTTTTTTCTTTTTCTCTCTCGACTCGTTTAATGCAGCAGTTTCGATTGAATAATTCGTTTCATTAAGCAACGAAGTATTGCTCCTTTTTTTCTCGCGGTAGAGCGGGTCTCGCGCGATCGTGCAGGTAGTGGAGTCGAACGAACGATTGAGTTTCCGAGGCGAGTTCATTTAGCTGCTTGGTTTGAAAAACGAGTGTAGCGATTAACTTCCTTTGAACGCGCGCGATCGATCCGGTGAATCTCGGGGAATTTGTCGGCTGGCCGTATCGATCTCTCGAGGACACCGATCGCGAGCTATGTGAAAGAGAAACGGGAGAGAATTTCGAATTGTTGCATCAGCGGTTGCACGAAGAACGTGCAAAATAGATGAAAAATAACAACGCGGTAAGTTGAATGAAAAGACGAGAGAAAAAGAGAGAGAATGAATTAAAAGAAGAAGAGAGAACAACGAGAATTCGTGGAAAACAGTGAAGAGATGAAAACGAGCGTAATCTCCAGAACGTAAACGCAATAAGTGCTTCGTTAAAATGAATAAAAAAAAAAAAAACCTGCAATAAAGTGCTTCGAGAATAAACAAAACAAAGCAAAAAAAAAAAAAATAAAATAAAATAAAATAAAATAAACTAAAATAAAATAAAACTAAGATAAAAGTAAAGTAAAATCGTAGTTGATTATCGAGAGGGTTAAACAGAGCAGAGTTATCGTCTAAGGCGAACCTAAGATTAAACTTAACTGTAAACCGTTACGCGTCGCGCGAGGAATAACAACAAACAAACAAACAAACAGAGAAATGAAAAAAAGAATAAAATATAAAGTTAAAAAAAGGAAAAAAAGAGATAAAACGTAGCACGTGTAGTAGATGGGGAGAAGAAAAAGAGACGAGTACTAAAACGAGACGAAATAAAAGGGAAAAAAAAGAGATAAAAAGCGACAAAAAAAAAAAAGAAAAAAAATAAAGAATTCGAAGAAAATAAAACAATGTGTGTTTGTATGTTTCTATGTTTATATAATCGCCGCGTGTGAGAGCGTGGCCGTAGAGGAATCTATTAAGACGCACAAACGATTCAAACGAACGATTTAAAAAAAATAATACAAAATAATTAAAAAAAGAAAAAAAAAAAGGAGGGACAGAGAATGAACGAAAGGAACGAGAGGTATAAGGGTAGAGTAGATGAGATGTGTGCAAAAATTGCGTCGGCCATGGTTGGCGCAAGGAACCGGATGCTTGTTTGATGGAACAACGATCAAACAACCTGTCCGTGTGTTTGTTGTGCGACGTATCCGTTGCGTTAACGAGACTTGTGTAACGCGTGTAGTTCTTTGGGCAACGTTCGTTGGAAAATATAGTCACCGTGGCTGGTAACAACGACGTTGTTAAGCGAACGACGTGTTTGAACGTGGAACACATGTTGCAGTTGATAGCCACTGCCGTAGAAATTGTGAATATATTATCAGGTAGCGTAAATTTAGAGGGATACTTGGTCGAGTGGACGCGAGTTTGGGGTAAAAATTCAACAGCGACGAGATCGTTTCAGGAGACAAAGTGTAACGAACATTTTCCGCGAAGTGAAATTTTCTCTGACGGCGGTGATTTAAGATTTTATTTGCACGCACAGGTTGATGAATCGCGCTCCATATATATGTATAATATATCTAAAGATGCTCGTACTATTCAAACTATTCAAACGCGATACAACGAAATTTGTAAGGTTAATAATCCCAAACTTGCGAGGAGTTAGCGCGAAGCTTGGTGAGTTGAAAACATTTCCTTTCGTTGCTAGTTCTTCTTCTCGAGACGATGCGCGAGTGATGATATTTTTTTAACGACTGTAAATAACGCAAAGGGGATGGTCACATGAGTTATGAATGAAAAAAAAACTGTACCTGTTTTAAATTGTCGCCAGGCGGTGTTTATCTCTCTAGATTTACCACCAGCTTCGAGTAAACGTTCAAAAACGTGTCGATGTTTCGTCTATTTTCATTCGTCGTATTTTTGACAAGAGACAGCCGAGTCAGCCATGTTACACGAAATATAATTTGCAATGAATACATCTTGTTAGCAAAATTAAACATTATTTGCAGTGCGACGCAGAATTTTATTACACGTTATCGCAAAATGCAACGCAGTCAGTTGTGCGATTTGTTGCGAAAGGATCGAAAGCGTACGACCAAAGGTAAGTCCATCCCACAATTTGTTTATTAAATCCAATCGAATTCCAATCTCCAAATAAATCTGAATTGTCATAAAATTAGTCAAACTTGTACGGTGCCGCTGCTACGATCATCGATCAACGACACGATCAAGCACGCGCATATAGAAAAGTTGGTAAAAGAAAAAGAAAAAAAAAAAAAAGAAAGAAAGCCTGTTTGAAGCTTCACATTGTAGTTGCTTCACTTCGTGTGTCGCTCTCGCGTATCTTTGGTAGTTAATCGCGTAGGAAATTAAGAAGTTCTCGATCGATCGCCGATCGATTAGTATCACTGTCAAGTACATACATCATAGTATCTTAATGTATAGTTTCTATGACAATACGTAAGTGGTAGAGATTCTCGAGAGAGAGAGAGAGAGAGAGAGAGAGAGAAAATAGAAAAGAAATCCAATTTAACTCCGCGTGATCATGCGAAACACAGCGATCATATAGAACGTATTTACATATTGACGCGCTTATATATTTTTATATATGTATAGTAAGAAGGACTGTAAAATAGTATTGTACATAAGAGACGGTATCACGTATTTTCCAACACTTACAAACACTTGCGTTCTCACCCGAGCAGCTGAAAACACTTGAAAAACGTACTCGCGAATATTCGTCGCGTCTTGTTTTCGCTCGAAAATCGAGAGAAGTTTCCATTATTTTGCCGATTAATAGCATTAATCCTTTGACTGGTGTTTTATTCACTCGATTCAAAAAAGAAAAGAAACCACCATTGTAAACGTGCTTTTGTTTGCACGAAATGAAATTGAATGCTCGACGAAGGAACATAAAACACGATGAGAAATACTTCGTTCGTTGATGTTTCTCTGATTAAAACAACTTCCTTCGACTCTTTCGACTTTTACCACGGAGAAATTGGTATTGTCAGTGTCCGATGTTAAATTTCAAATTTGACATTTTAATCGTCGACTAAAAAAGTAAAATATTTTCTTAATGGGGTATTCTGGTAATCCGATTTTTCTCTTTTACTTTTTTTCAAAGTATATGCTTTCGCGAATGCCTGTGAAAAAAGATTTGTTTGAATTCGTAAAATTAGCAGAGTTATAGATGTTTAGAAACTTCAAATGTTTTTCTCAAATCCATACTTTTTGAACTGGCTGACGGGTTATCTCTCGTTTTAATTAACCGGTTGACTTGAAAGTTGGAGGAGATCTTCACCGGATATACCTTTATCGCATGAATCACGGATTTCAAAATCTGATGTTTCTTTCTATTTCTTTTTTTTT